TCTTTCTCTTCTCCTCTCTTCTCTGCCTAAAAATCATAATTTCTTTTGGGGTTTTTGGGGTTTGTTGAAAAAGTTTGCAAAAAAAGAAGAGAGTAGAGATTTTGGTTGTGAGAGGAGTTCAAGGAGGAGATTTCTGTGAGGGCATCTCCTTGAGGTGGTTTCTTGTGTTGAAGTGTTTTACATTTGCATTAAGAAGGTACTCTACTTCCCCCCTTTTCTCAGTGCCCTGTTTCCTTTCGGTTTTCTCTCTGCCGAGCCTTCGAACATGGCTCTGTTGGATGATACAGCATGCTAGTTCACGTTTCCTTCATGTATTTTTGAGATATTAACTTTAAGAGCATGTGAAAGATGAAATGTGAGCTTGTTTCAAGGGTGAGATTTGATTAATTGCTTAGGATGGTGCAAACATAGCATGATATAAGTGTTCTTATTTTCTCTATTAGCTTGAGATGAAATCGTAGCATATTCCTATTACTTTGAATAGGAAGGTTGAAACGTGGATTTGAGATAAATTTAACTCCTCTTGTAAGCATGTTGGGATATGTATTATGAAGCTTTTCATCCATATTTATTTATTTATTTTATTTAGCATGAGAATATTGCTCTAACTTTTATTGTGGCTTAGTGTTGGAGGTCTCAATTGCAGCTCGATTTTGGACCTTGCTGGGTTCGAATTTTAGCCTTGCTCGGCTCGGTTTGGTCTTTAACTAATCCGGAATTTGATGAAATATATGCGGGTTGCTTCTTGGCTTGGGATAACTCGGTTTTACCTTAAGATGGCTGGAGTTTTAATTTCTGTTAAAGCTTGAGTTTTTGTCCCTGCTTGGGCCCTGTTTTAGCCTTGAGTGGCTCGGTTTCTGGCCTCCGTCGGGACTTGGTTTTGCCTGCTCTAGTTCTTGTTCTTTGCCTAATTATGAGGCCTATTTTGGCGTGAGATCTATATGTTGCTGGTTATTTCGAGACTAATACAGGTGCAGGCTTTTTCCTTAATGGTTTAAGGCTGATTTGGGGTGTGGCTTTATCTGTTTTGGCCCTTGCTCGGTTTTGGATTGTGGTAGTTCTGTTTTGGTCATTTGATGGTTGCGGTTTTAGACCTAGTTGGGCTCGATCTTATCTTTGGGATAGCCCTGTTTGAGCTTGCGGTGTGGTTCAGTTTTGATTTTGCCATATTCTGTTTTGAGGTGATGTGTGCCTTGGCTTGGGAGTTCGGTCGACCCTCTTTGCTTCCCCTTTCCTTTTGGCAACCTAGGCCTTGAGCCTTACTTGTTGTGTTTTGGGTTGGTTGTGGTTGTGAGTCTTAGGGCTACTCCTTCCTACTCCTACCCGTGAAACTTATTGAGGGTGCTCAATTTGATTTGGTTCTTCTTGTTGGGCTTGAATAACTTGAACGATTATGGGGGAATCAAGTGTGTCATCCGAAAATATATGTATGTGCATTATCTATAAAATGAGTTGATTTGAAATGAGTTAGGCATATTTCTTGAGTCTTACTTGGGGAAATTGGAGCTGGTTTGAGATGATTTATGAAAACCTGTGCATTACTCTCTTATGTATATCGAAACTTGTATGGGATTGATTTGGGTATAACTTAGCCGTGAGCTTCCTCTTCTCCTGTGCCTCGGGTTCGCCTTAGCCGTGAGCCTCACTTGTGGTCTTTTGTGGGTTGCTTTGGCAGAGAGCCTTGGCTGCTGCTCCCTCTATTTTATTAACT